CGTCCAATATCACAGATATTGGCCAGCTGCGAGCTTGTGGACACAAGTATGGCCAATTCCCAGGCCCTTGTGGCGTCCCACACTGTCACTGGCAGGGCTCGTGTTGCAAGTGTGACACTCCAGGTCTCTTGGGACCGGGTTCCATTGCGCCCTTCTATGTCGGCTTGGATTGTTCCAGCGCCTTGGATCTTTACACTCATGTTTCCAAGCTTGAGCAGCCAGGATTTTTCGGCACTTTGATCCCAAGGGCTGAACTTCATCACAAGCTGCTTGTCCCATGGACAGCTGTACACCGTCCTAGTTCCTCCTGTACCCAGGTGGGTTGGGTGAGCGATGTTTTTTTCTGGCTGCTTTCCATCGCCAGACGGCCGCCCAAAGTACTTGTAGACGCAGCCATTGTGAATGCGCGTGCGCAAGTCTTCTTTCTCAACATTCTTCCCCTTGAGCAGGAGTAGAGCCGGCTGGCTCATATCCTGCTCTGGAAGCGTTGACTGCTCACAAGGCTTGAGCACTACCGGCTCAAAGATGGAGTCGTCAGACTGTTGCTCCTCTTTGACACATGCCAGTGCGCACTCCTGGCTCGCCTGGGCGGGGCAGCCTTGTCATCCTCAGCCCTGGGCCTGGCTCCTTCAGGGCCTCCAACCTCTGCCGAATCAGCCTCGGCCTCAGTCGGCCTGGTTGCGCCAGGGCCCTCCTTGAGGGTTATACCCTCGCCCTCCTTGTCATCCTCATCTTGGTCATCTGGTCTGGATGCACCACGACCTTCCTTGAGGGTTACGGCGGGCTTGGCAGCCTGCATATCGCTGCTCGAGCGGGCCTCTGCTTTGGCCTTATAGAACGGGGCCTTCTTCTGCCATAGCCTTAACGGCCGACTGTTTGACAGCGCCTGTGCCAGGGCTGTCCTGAGGCTCATCCGTCTGCGTGGGCTGGGAGGAACCGCTAGCCCTTTCTTTGCCTGGCGGGGCATCACTCTCAGGCTCTCTGTCCGCCTCTGAGTCAGGCGGTGCCTTCTCCTCAGGAGCTTGGGCTTTCCCAGGCAGCTCCTGTGGCCTGTTTTTGGTATCTTCGCACCACCACGGCCGGCTCTTCCTGCTTTTCAGAGGTCTCGTACTCATAGCTGGACCCGTCATCTTGGGAAGCCTCCGGTCCCGGCTGCCGCCTTCGCGGCTGCATCCGGTCCGGCCTCTGCAGCTGGTGGCGGGGCTTCTTCAGCAGCCCTTTCTTCACCAGCGTGCTCTTTTTTTGGCTCTGAGGCTGACGGTGCGGTCCTGTTGTATCCTTAGAGTACCGTACGTACTGCCCCGCCTTTCTTTCCCGAGGACCGGCGCAGCGCTTTGAGTACTCTCTGCTTGAC